TAGCGACCGCACTCCCTGGAACGTTGACCTCCAGCCTCTTTGCGTAAAACCTCTTGAAGTAGAATCAAAGGCTCTCTCTGGGACCTTGCCTTATCTGGATCAACACATGAGAGGGCAGCTTCTGCTTGGTGTCAGCTAGGAAGTGGTGGATGAACTTTCGGCTGAGTTTCTGGAAGCTACTGATGGACTTCTTCTCAAGGGTGCTCCACCAGAGCTTGGCACTCCCTGAAAGAGTGATGGGGAAGCATCGACAGATGACTGCTTCTGATGCTTGGAGCATGCTCATCATATCATAGTAGTTCTGAACAAGCTCGGAAAGGTCTCCCTCGCCCTTATACTTCTCCATGTGAGGTATCTAGAACTTCTCACATTGAGCATTCATGAGCTCATCTGAAAGGGGGGTGTTCCCCCTGATGGCTTCTGTGGCCGTTCTGTACACTCAATCGTATCCAAAGGCCCCCACGGTAGCAGAGGGGACAGGAGAGGCACAATGATGAGGGAGAGTCTTAGAGGTTTCTCCCCTAGTATGGTCCTCAGGGTGACCAGGGCCGGGACTTTTGCTGGTGACTTCAGGATGAGGGAGCAGTCATCGGCGAGGTTCCTCAGGGCGAGTCTACCGATGAGGTGGCAGGGTCACATACTCGACCTAATCCCTCAGCTGTTTGGTAGCAGCATGAGGAGTCCGAGGAAGAACTACTTGTTGTGCTCTATAAGGAGGGTGAGTCTCCGACCGCAGGTCTTCAGAAGGTGGGGGGGATAGCTGAAGTAGCTTGCTGTGGTAGTGGAAGTCGGTTGAGGAGCTCGCTGGTGAAGGCTGCGAATTGCTGTTGGAGAGATTGAGAAATCTTCTAAGCTATTTCTTCAATCTAAGCTTGAGTAACATAACTCTAGTGTGGTCCTACAGAGTGAGACTGATCAGCCTTATGCTCAGAACTAGACATGTTTTCTCGATAAAGAAAGAAGGCCCCATGGTGAATGTCAAACTGTTGACGTTAAGTAACCAAATAGTCAAATATGTGAGTGTGAGATTGACTTGGGGCCGCTCACTTCTCTGAATATCTGGTTTCGAGTTTAGTAGCTTCGGCCTGTACAAATAGCAACTCGTGAGAGGACGGGGCTTAGTTCTCTCATTGTACCTCAGACAATCAAGTCAGCTTGTGAACTTGAGTGGGAAAATGAAGAACTATGTGAGTTCTTTAGTGCATGCAGTGTAATCTATAGATATTGCTAGGAAAAGAATCCTTGGAAAAATATCAAATCAATCCACCTCCTTTCAGTAAAGAATAGTACCTCTATTTGTAGTGTTGTTGAACATAGGATGGCGGTAAGAAGGTATGGGTTGGCGGCTGTGTCAATACCTACTTTACACATGTCGGTCAATGAGTGGAGGTGAGATCACCTCAACATTAAATAAGAAGTTATTGGAGGCAGGACGGTGCTGACGTGGTCTGATGAGTCATGAAGACTATCGGGGCTAGAGGTATGATATGCCTGCTAAGCATTAAATATGACGCCGACGTGCTATTAGCGGGAGATGCTAGAAGCCGAAGTCGTCCTTTAGCTTGAACGAGAAGTAACGCCTTTCGAGTCGACCTCGCGAGGCGTCGAGTAACTGGTCGAGTGGGCTTGTTGCGAGTCACCTTCGACAAGAGAAGTACCGCCATTTGAGTCGACCTAAGGAGATGTCGAATTGATGGGTCGGCTACGTCGGGATCCTTAGTTGTTTTGGCTGTCAATCCGACTTGAGCGGTACATGTAGGGGGACATTTGTCCGTTGTTGGCAAAGGGCTGTATTTTGACGACTGAAAACACCATAACAATATATTATTCTACTAAAGCTGAAGGGGTATTTTGGTCCATAAGAGCTGTTATCCAAGTTAATGTGCTTTAAAAATAAATTATTTACAAGTTAGGGTTTATATAAATAAGATTGTATTTTTCTATAAATATTAGTTAGGATGTTATTTAATGTTATTTCTTCTTTAGTTAGGTTTTTATTTATCTTCTTTGTTTTACTATAAATAAGATTGAGTTTTTTTTTTTTTTTTTTTTTGGAAGGAGGAGAGAATAATGTTTGTGAGAAATCTGCATGTGAATTGCAGCTAGTATTAGGAATATGAGGTGTTGACATGTGAAGTACCCGAATGCGAGGCTTATATTTCTATATTTTTCTATTATTAAATGAAGAGTGTAATTTTATTATTCATATTTTTATTTATTTGATCTAAATAAGTTCTATCAAGGATATCCATCTTATCATTTCCCATCATTTGGTATCAGATTTGATTTACTTCCCAGGTTTAGTTTTTTTTTCTATAAATAAATTTGTAAATCTCCATAAGGAATTGGACTATGATTAATGAAAAAAATAGGTGTGAAATCTTTGTCCGCATGTGAAGTGCTAAAATTATGACATGTGAAGTGTCAGGGTGTTATGTCCTTGGTTGTTATGCTCTTCTTTTATTCTAGCCGTCCAATTACAATATTATTCAACTAAAGTTCACTTCTCAAACATTTTAGCCATTTATCCTCTTAACAAAAGATCATCATCATTCAAAAATATCAAATAAAAACCTAAAACCACAAAAGGCAGACTACTATTGATGAGTGAACTGTAACCCAGTGCACTATTTGACTTAGTAGCATTCTTGTTGTTTGTGATATATTACAACACCACTCCGCCAAGTCATTGCCAATTTCTCGCCTCCAGATCGAAGCTCTCACGTTACTCCTCATCATTTTCTATTAGAGCCCAAGAGAGCCATTGTTGCAGCTTTTAACATTGACAATGCAGCAATTCAAAGTCCATCAATGCTATGCAATTTTAAACTTGAGGACGAGCTTCTTCAAAAGAGGAGATTTGATACAGGATAGATCTAGATCTAAATTTAACATAAGATTTGATGTAGGACAGATTTGCATATTCAGAATCTGAAATCTAAAAAAAAATATTTGATGAAGATTTTATTATAATTTTTCTTTTTCTTTTAGTTGATATTTTTAGTTAAGATTGAGTTTAACTTTTGGTTAGGATTAATTTGTTATTTTGTTAGGATGTTTTATTTGATATTATCTATTAGTTAGAATTAGGATTTTGTTTTAGTGCTATAAATAATGATGTATCTCTTCATTTGAAGAGGGAGGAGAGAAGAATGTTCATAAGAAATTTGCATGTAAATTGTCGCTATTGTTAGGCATGAGAATTACCGACATGTGAAGTCCCCCGGGTGTAAAGCCCTAACATTTATATCTTTTTTTTAACTAAAGAGTGCAATTTCTACATTTGTTATTTTATTTATTTTTTATCCAAATAATAATCCTTAGCAAATCACTATGCTTATGTTTCTTTCCATTGATCATAGTCTAATTCCTCAATGAGGATTAAAAATTTATTTAAAGAGAAAAGCTAAATCTAAAAAGACAATCAAATCCTAATAAAAAGTAAGCGAAGATAAAATCTCTAACAAAATAAATTTCAAAAATCCTGACAATCTAAAATCTAATCATTAGGAGATCTTTACCTAAAATTGGAGATTACATAAAATATTACTAAAATAACAAAAATACTAGTAAATCATAGTCTGATTCCTCAACCTCGAGTTTTACATTGGGAGAGTGTAACATGTCATTTATTTGGTGGCAAGTCTTTTTTCGAGGGCTGCAAGAGTTTCAATAGAAGTTTTAGACCTCGATATTGAGTTAGTGGTAGAGGATTTGGGAGAACAAACTCAACAATCAAATAAACCTGGACCGGGAGTTTGCACTGCATATCGATCTTACATTCGGCTTCTAGGCTTCACTCCATTTCAGGTTGTAGAGTTAATTCAAGTTTTGGATTTGAATCAACATCTGAAATCAACTTTCAGTTACAGCTTAAGTTTTGTTTCTCGTTCAAGTTCGAGTTCAGCTTGAACTCCATTTTCTGATGTGGTTAAGCTTTTGGCTCGAGCTCAAATTGCACCTCTCGTTCCGGGTTAGGTTCTGATCAGTACTTTTGCTCTTGCTCTGCTTTTTCTTCTAGCTCAAGCTTTAGCTCCGAGTCGATCTTTTGATTTGGTTCTTGTTTTAGTTCAGGCTCCAATTATGGCTTAGTCTCTAATTTTTGTTCTGGTTCTAGATTTCGATTTTATTCAAGGTCTGACTTTAGGTCTACATCTAGCAAGAGTTGAGGCATTCGTATGGACTTTGCTTCAAGGTTTGAAGCGGAACAATATCTTCTACACGGTTGAGATGAGTACCTCCTTTTCAAAAAATCGTTCATACATGCCCACTAACAGATTCCCGAATGCTAACCTAATTAATTTATGGACCACCATTTTTTATCTTCTTCCTAAGCCTTCATTTGACATATAAATGCTTCATTTGACATATAAATGCATTTTCAGATCTGACATACAGTAGACAGAAAATATATCTTCTATATTAAAATCTCGGACTTTGAAATCATAGGGCTCTTCATATCCATGAAATTTAGCTAATGTGCCAAATTTTAATGGATTGAAATCATACCCTTGTGTGAAGGAGGTAGCGGTATTTTACCCTTGATAATTGTGGATCTTTGAGCTCTGATACCAAATAATGAGGAATCACAAGATGAAGTTTTTTTTATAAAACTTATTTAGATCAAATAAACGAAAATACAAATAATAGAATTGCACTCTTCATTTAAGAATAGGAAAAAAAATACCAATATGGGCAGGGCACCTCATTAATACTAGCTGTAATTTACATGCAAATTTCTTACAAACATTCTTCTCTCCTCCCTCCTAAATGAAACAAAATGCAATTTTATTTATAGAAAAACTAAGAAAATAAATAAAATCCTAACAAAAGAAGAGAGAACATCAAATAACATCCTGACTAAAATAAGATAACATCAAATAAGATCGTAACCAAAGGAAAAGATAAAATCATAAAATCCAAACTGAACCAAGTATATCAAATCTTCATGAAATCTGTTTTTTTTAGAGATTCAAATCTGAATCTGTCCTGTCTCACATACTCCAACACATAGAAGAAGCAACCTTTCGGTTTTGGGGGCTTATATCCTAAAGAAGAGATATCAAATTATAGATGATTGTAAAAGCTGGCAAATCGTCCTTAGACGACTCAGTACGCAAAATTATGTTCTAAAACAGCTTCAATATTTTGGGAAAAGCTTACATGATGATCATAGAGATGGGCTTTATACCGATAATCAGTTTTTAAGTTGATGCAGCAAAAGGAGTGCAGGAAATATAGTTTTCATTCTAAACTAATATAAATATAAAAGGTTTCAAATGGGAAAGTTACATAGGCCAGTCAATAGGATCCAGTCTTTGGGAAAGCCTCCGTATTAACCCCATGGCTGGGTCCGTACTACAGATTCCTATATCTGCTTTCGTCTAAATCTGACATCCAACAGAGTTTGTAATGCTCATTTTTCTGAAACTCGAGATTCAGGAGCCTCAGCGGTTGGAAGGAAATTCTCATAGATGCCAATAACCTGCGAGGCATTCATGTCAATAATCAGTATGTACTGTAGAGCTTCAGAACGCGAGAGAAAGCAAGAGGATACAACTACATTAAAGATTTTTCTTTTTCAGTCAATTCATGCAGATAATTTATGATGAAACACAGAAACACCCCGCAGAAAATAGATTCAATTCTTCTGTTTTTGAAATTAAGCCATATGGCTCCAATCCTTCCCTTCCCCATCCTCAATATGTTAAACACAAACTACGCTGCTTTAACGCGGTTATCCCGATAGACATTCCAACTGAAATATCAAACCAGGACACACTTCTATATACTTAAAAGAGTTGGGCCCTGGGGTTCTAAAACGTTCAAACTAAAAAAAAAATTAATTGATTCTGGACAAAGGAGACATTAGTTTTGGAAATCCTGCATTCCTTTGCTCCATCGTAAAGCATTTTACTCATGGCTAAGGTTCCCATTCTGCATTAGAAGTTTGTCTTCCGTTCTTATTTGCACAAAAGGATATTTCTCAGACTAAAATATGGATAGGCATGCAGAATTTAAGAAGGAATAACAACAAAACTTAACAAATCATCACCGACTCTCATAGCAAAACGTTCTAATTTATATAAACCCAACACGTGGAAGCGAGAATTCTCAGCACTCACTGAAATAACATCAGACCTTAACAGCACCAGGAGCCATTAACTAACTAGCACTACAGGGCTAAAACTAAGTGTCAAAAATTACTATTTACATAAACAATGAGATTAAACACATACCTTCCCCAGTAACCTACCAGCAAACTTCCTGAGCATAGTTTTTCGTCAAGGACATTGCCTCCAACTTCGTGTATTTCCAGGCATGCTTGAAAGAGAAAAGAAATCATGTGGAGTGAAGGCATGGACGGAATAGCTATTTTCATATCTGTAGAAACCTCACCAGAATTCTCTTGTTTGAGAACAGTCGCTTCCCATTCCTGCATAATGATACTAAGTCAAACTTAACAATATGCCAAGCACTTATAATCTCAACTTGCAATAAAGGGTCAATTGATAACAAATCAATGCATGCTGCTAAGGATAGCTTAAATTTGATACTATATTATCACAACACATGGCTTCTTACTCCAGGATATATTACTCACTAGTACATACATAATGTGCAATGATCAAACTTGGATCAAGGAGTTCATTCTGACACACCCAAAAAAAAAAAAAAGATACTGTCACAAATATCAAACATGTTCTGATTCCGTTGATAAATTTCAACCAGCTGTCTAATGCCACACAGAGAGTCATCTGTCCTAACTGAAGAAACTAGGGGTAAAGGAGAGCCTTTTTATCAGGCCTTGTAGGGTAATTGGTCGAGACGATAAAGTATTTTACAAGTTTCATAGTGAATGCTCATGCAACCAGGGAGCATCATCTGAAACTCTTATCGATTACCTAGAAGAATGGGAAAGATGATAAGGCTTGTTACACACAACATGTCTCACAGCTGAGGCATTATATAACCAAAGAGACAAATTAAACAACATACATATATACTTTTATGTTTATTTGCATATATACCGCTTAAATCATCCATCCAAATCTCAATATTGGCAAAACTCTCAATATTGGCAAAACTATCCTTCAAATCACCAATTTTGGGGGGGAAAACCTCAACGCAATTAATTATCAACTTTGATAAGCTTTTTTTTTGGCAATGTAAAAATTATCAACAAAATAGTCAAATTGATGATTTGTTAATTTTAGGGGTATTTTCCCCCCAAAGTTGATGACTTGAGAGGTAGTTTTGCAAATACTAAGATTTGGGGAATATTTGTGCAAATAACACATAATTGTTTAAGTAGCGAATGACCTGCTGTCTGCATTATGGACTCCAGGAAAATAAATACCAAAAGAAAAGGTCATTCCTTCTGTAGGTACTCTAAATACAAAAATAAAAGATCATCCTCTCTAGCTCACTTTATTAGAGCTCAATAAGAAATGGACCCAATTCCCCTTTCTCATTCAGATAATAATTTAAAGATAATTATTTTAATAATGGAGTACTTAGGACTGTTGTGCTCAGGGGAAACTCGCGATGAATGTAAGCTTGATGAGCTCCACTAGCTGAAGCAAGATCCAATAAACATAATTTGGACTTGCGAGGGTCTAAATACAAAAATATAGATATAAAAATAAAAGTATAAATATGAATGTAATATAAATATTATGTGTAGTTCTTTACAGTAGAACTCCCAAAAAAATTTATCTACCAATAAAAATATTCTAAAACATAGTCTCAGACTATTATTTTCTTTGGCTTCTTTCACACTAATTTATATTTATTCACATTTCATAGTACAACTCTCAAAAATATTTCTTTTAACCAAATGAGCTATTCTCTTTATGACTTTCTCCATACTAATTTATCTACATTATAACTCCCAAAGGTATTAGTACTGTCCAGATACTTAAACCTTTTTTTTTTTTTGGTAAGCCAAAGACATGTTTTTGCTATAAAAAATTTTGTTTTATAAACCAAATGAGCCATTTCGGCTTTCTCCATTTTAGCCAATCTACAATACAACTCCCAAAAGCATCAGTACTGTCTAGTTGCTTAAATTGTTGTTTTTTGGTTTTTCTTCAACTAATTTATTTACAGTACATATCAGAAAAACATTTTTATCCACAAACTAAAAGCGAAATTCTGAATCAAATGATTAAACCATTTTTCTTCCTTCTTTTTGCACTTATTTATCTATAGTACACCTCCCAAATACTTTCTCATCCGCAAATTAAAAAGAAAATTTCTAAGCAAAATGCTTAATAATTATCTTTTTCTTTTTTCACACAATTGTCATAGCAATACGTGGGTCAACTTTGCTTGTTTATAGAGAAACTATTCACAGACAAGGTTGTATTTTTTTAAGTAAAATAATGCATATTTAAAAGCTTTCTTAAATTGGGGCCATTTTGTTGGAAGTTCATGTGTGAATATAGTTTGCTTTGAGGAGAATTAGAAAGATTGTTTAGTGCCAAATAGAATACCCAATAGTTTAAGCTTTTGGATCAAATTGGTTCTTACTCTATATTTAAGGTATATCTTTGAGTCCAAGTTATGATCCACTGGAGACTTTTAAGAGCCCACGTCCCACATAATATAGCTCAAGATTTGAGCCAAAACTGGTTTCCATCCTACATTTAAATCTCATCTTACTACTTGAGAGGCCCCCAGTTCTGCCGACACATTTATATGTCCATTAATTTTAAATGCACAGCATGTAAAGCTCAGAAAGTACAAGTGACAGAATAGTGACAAAACTTACCTACCATGAGTTTAAATAAATCCTTCTTTAACATCAAACGACATTTTAAAAAATCACAGCACCTGCACACTAATCATCATCATGCTTGCTAGTCCACTAATATGTTACAAGAATTATGGCGAGAACAGTGAGAACAGTGAAATTATAATACACAAGAGAAAGAAATAAAGAAAAGCCTTGAGTCGTACCTCTTAAGGATGTCAATGAGCGCCTCTGAAAATACAGCCACAAGACTGATATTTTCAAAAGAAGAATGATGCATGTCAAGTTTCAAGTAGTTGTCCTACTGTGTGCAAAGCTCCTCAAATCTGGTAAGACTGCATAGTACACCAATATCATGTGGTTACCACCAACGGAAACAGAAAAATTAGTCAATACATGGTTGATTGTAATGGTTAAGGCTCCCAACTACTAAAGAAAAATCAAAGTAGGAAGCAGAAATAAAAATAAGAATAAATTTTCAATTTCTTAGATATTGGCAGATATTGGAAAACCACTGCTGCAATCTTGTAAGTCTGCACAAAGGTAAGTTGAATAACAAGAGAAATATCAGCCTAAGCACTTGAGATATGTGCAATATCTCAACCTGAGAAGTGTTACAAGATACCCTTCTTAACTAAAAAGTGATACGACTTAATTATTTAATAATACAGGAGACTAAGTTCAACTGCAAGATGATCCATTTCACTATACTGCTTGTGTTTCAACTGGAAAAATATATCCAGCAGATAGAAAGAGTATAAATGTTCAATAGAATGGGAGCCATAACTGTTCTTTACAACACAGGAATGTTCATACTTCCCAGTGTGGATGCCGAAGTATATTGTACCAGAAAATTAAGAAGAGAACCACATGGATGTGCATCACCCAAACCACAAGCAGACACTTACGAGGACACCTAACAACTAGGTGGCACCTCAAAATTAACCAACTTAGTGAGTCTTTGCCATGTTCCAAATAACAGATCAATCCCAAGTGCCTAGATAATCATCTATGTCAACACAGATTTGCATTTGCCGAAACCAAAATACCATGGTAATGTTTTGTAAAAGCAGTGAGCAATGCCTTGTCAATGAAACTGAATTAAGAATGTAACAATAAGTCTACTACGGGTCTTTAGGTTCGTCAATTGCCCCACTAATGCAAGTGTCAATCTTCAGGTTCATTCTGCTGGTTTCCGAACCATGTGTGTTCTCTGTGGGTCATCATTTCTACTCAATAGAGGGACCATGCCCAAGTTGATGCAGGTTTAGTGCCCGTTTCTAGTTCTGGTGCATGTAGCTATATGCTGCTTAGTACCCTTTGGACTTTTTTTCCTTGATTTGGGAATGTATATGTATGTGTGTGGAGCTTCATGCACCCATCCTGTCTTCTTCGGTAAAGGGGGAAAAAAGAAAGAAAGAAAAAGAAAAAAAATGCTTCATCATATATGTCTGTGTGTACATATATTACTCATGAGTTGAGCTAGTCTACTGCAGATAGTATCCAGGATGTGGCTCTTGCAAGAAAGATTCTTCACACTGAATACATAGCTCAAACTTGGAGCAGTAGGCCGAACTTCCAGAGATTCATAAATCTAGCTTGTCAAATTTCATTGAGACTAGAAGCAATCACTTGCCTACCAATTTTAAGTTACGGAGTAAACTACAGTTAAGGCATTAAATGCATCCCCAAAAAGCATCCTCCAATTACCAAGAAGTTCTAATTCATAAATCTTAATGTTTAATTAGCCCTCTTTACACTAGTCACGTTAGCTTCAATCCACTTCTACTGACAACAGGCAAGACAAGAGATCAACGAACCTAGGATCCACGCGTCGCCAATCCATCTTGCACCTACTAAGGTGTCAATTCTATCAAGCATGTCATATTCAGCCCCAGTCTGTCCTTCATAAACGGATTATCTTGTAATCACCATCCTTTTCCTTTTTAGACAAGCTTAACTTCCCTTGAGGAAAAGCAATAAGTATTTATTTCAAATATCTGGGTTCTGCTGTATTTGTTCTTTTGTAATGAAGCTGTATGTTACCAGTTGGCTTCCATTAGCACCTCAGTGCAACATCCATCTTCATCTATCAACAGTTGAGCAATCTAAATTTAAAAGGAAAGACAATACGCATAGTGATATTTACACAGAGAGTGACTTCACGTTTATATACATATATATGGCCATCGACGTATTATGAAGAAGCAACTCAGTGGCCTTGGTAATAATCCAAATATCTCTCATGTTTAAGCGTAAGAGATAATGAAAAGTATGCGTATAAGAGGAAAAAAAATTATGCATATAAGAGAAATAAATTTGCACACCTCCTAAGAAGAGGCTTGGGGTTGTAAGGAAACAAACTTTTCTGATGGAGATCAGCAACTGTTCTTTTTAAAGACAACAAGCATTCTTTGGCATTTTCAAAACTATGTAGCCTGATGCTCCTATGCTTTCTAAAAATTTCCTTCCTGCTAAAATCTTTCCTCTTAACCTCCATAGAGATAGGAAAAGACAATAACTTCGCACCACAATTAGTAGTATCCGGAGATATCTTTCTTCTCTTCAAATATCTTTGATCTGTCTCATTTCCCCATGACGAAAATTCAACAAATACAGACCAGAACTTGCAAATTATGTGTAGACACCTAATAAGAATATAAAGCTATGAATAACTAATGGTAATTTTAGGTCATGAAGAAGAGAAACAAGTTAAAGGAATCTTGCGGTTAGGTGAATAAATTAAGCAATTGACAAAAGCATATGAACGAAAAATGGATGTCCAGAAACTAACTGAGATGATTATTTAGCAGTATGTACTACCATATGGTTGAGCAATAGGTTAGGTGAATATGATAAATAATTCACAAAAGCATATGAATAGAAAATGAATATGACAAAAGATATAAAAGGCGATAAACATAGACACTAATATATGATACTAGAACTACTATTAGTGCTGAAAATGACCTATAGCTTATAAGCATTTAAAATCTCTAGACGTTTGTAGGATTCACATAAAGATATCCTGAGGTTTTAAAAGTGACAATTTACCCTCTCTTAGAATTTTCTGAAGTTAACCGGGAGGTAAGAACCGAAGTAAAAAGATATTGCAATTATTTGTATTAATAGACATGTATATCATTATTACATTGAAAACTGATGATTACATTGAGAATGTTGATGATTATTAGATGAAAAATTGAAAATAAGGGAGGTTAAAGTGTCACTTTTAAACCTTAGTGGGGTTTTCAATCATTCCTAAAACCCAGGTGAGGGTGGAGTCTGCCATTCCTGAAAACCATAGGGGGGTCTTCTGTTATTACCCCAGGATAAAATAAATGAAAAGATCAGCAGAAATTATCCATTATGTTCCCTTATGTTGCAATAAAAGCAACAGTTATGTAGCAGGTATCATGATCCTATGTTGATCTACACCGATAATTGACAAGTGAGGTACAAACCTGCAAATGCAAGTGACAAATAGAGCTGCAAATAACTTTGCAAAAAAAAGAAACTTCAAACAGTTTAATGGTGTGGCTAATAAATTCAAGCACTGCTGTCAGTTAAGTTGTCTCAATCAGTACATTAATCATCTATTTGAGCGTCCAAAGCAGGGAAAAGAAGTCACTAATGGAAGTTTCAGCAATTAAGCACACTTTACAATTTATGCGTATATCAATTTTGATATGAATGACACAAGAACAGTATAGTTAGCAATTTTTAGATCATACTAGAAGCTAATACTTCTCTTTTGTACATAAATACTTCAGATGTGACTATATTAGCATAAGGCAAAAATCTACATCCATGCACACATTGTCTAGACTTAGAGCCATATTCATAACCAATTAATTTGCAAGCATGTGGCCTTAGTAAGATTTTAGAGTTTTTTTTTTTTTTTTGGAAATTCAGTTTTCATTTTGTCAAACTAAGCTAATTAATCGGAGCCAAAAGGTCTCACATTCCAATATTGCTTTAGACACAAGTTGTTCATCATATGCGACCTTGATTTCAAATTTTCCTGGTAACACATCAAGTTATATTTGTAAAACTTAGATACATGAAATACTCTAATGATTTTACTATCTTTTATGCATAGAGGTTTGCATCCTGTATAGCAGCTTATACCACTGACGAACTCTAGATTGCAATTTATTGGAACATGATTGATAAGACTTCTTGAAAGTTAAGAGAGATAATAATTGTACTACAAGTTGCATCCTACCTTGGTATTATGCGGAGTTGGTGCTGAGTTGGAATAATGAGGTGTACAAGATTAATTGCTCTTGGTTGGAATAAAGTTTCAACTTTCTAAAAGGTTTTATCTGTTCTTTAAAGAAAAGACTGTTCATCTTATAACTTCTTTTCTCTTTCTTTCAAAATCCACAAGAAGAAAACAAAAGAAATTTGTTGCTAATTATTTTTGTTTCCTAGCTAAGTTTTAGACTATGTTCTTACTGCAGAGAACAATGGGGAAAATCCACTCGGTGACTGAAAAGTGATGACCATGGACATTAGATTAATTATTATGGCAGTAATGAGAATTAAGATGCTGCCCAAATAAGAGCAATAGAATGTTTAGCACTCAACAATTTCTAGGTATTATGAGCAAGAGCATAACTTCTTGTAATGGCTTTGTTGCAATGGTGAACCTACAACTGATCTCCGTAGCAAACACAGAGGAGACATAGGGAGCATTGTCTAAAGGACTACTTACAAGCTAAAAATAAATCGGGTTTTCTATAGAGTGCCCATGGGCACTCTATAAGAGAGGAGAGAGATAGAGAGAAATGAATGAGGAGGGGATCCCAATGCAAATTAGGGGACCCCCTCTTCATTCATTTCTCTCTATCTCCCTCCTCCCTTATAGAGTGCCCATGGGCACTCTATAGAAAAAACGAAAATAAATTAAGCAACCGTCAATTGACGGTGAATTAAGCTTGATGTGCTTGGGTTTCATAGAGGGAATGAAAGAAGTAAGAGGTAGAAGATGAACAATTTTTTTATAAAAATTGAAATTTTTTCTTTCCAAGTGCAATTAATGTTGTACACCTCATCGGTGCCACATCAGCACCACCTAAGAGTAGCACAAAAGTAGTATACAAATTGTAGTACAGTAATCATTTCTCTAAGTTCAACGAACAAAGGCATAGATACCAACCAAATTGCCACTATGCACAAGATAAGAGAATCTCACAGCTTCCGTGAAATCATAAAACCGCGTAATTTAAAAACTATAGTTCCATTTAAACGGCAATTAATAAAGTACATTTTATCAACAGACATTTGTAAATTACTAAATATGTTCTGTTCGTGAAACGTGGTGCTATGATGCACTAATTATTTGAAAAGGGCCTCGTGCCCGCATCAATATGTATGCAATCACATTATGACATGTTGGATTCACATGGGTTTTTGACACATGGGATTGTATTCCGTGCAAATTACTGCCAATGCAGACCTGATATCCTTCTGGATTTGACCAACTTGGATGTCAGGCCGAGTTCATCGAACTTTATGAATGTGATGCTATATGATGCTATAAGTTAGCAGGTGCAGAGTTAATAGTTTTAACTCTTCATGCATGATGTTGCAGTTGATCAGAATAATCGATATCACTTGTGATGTTCATACTTGCTTCATGCATGATTATGACTTTTTCGTGTGGTGATGTATATATTGGTGTATAGGCTGAGGGGGAGAGGGAGAAGTAGACCAAATACTTTTATCAATTCCCAAAAGGAGGTGTTCACGCATCTTCTACTGTAATTTGATGTGGGGATGGACATGTGCCTGTTCAATATCTCTAAGGCAGAGAAACTAGTGGAAACTAAAACAATGATAGGCCATATTACCACAATGTGGTTCGACTTCCACTATCGTTCCACTATCTGGTCCGTATTTATTTGCAACATGGATGAAATTTCTGCAGGCATGCTCTTCAAGAGTTCCAAACAAAAGGTTTTCCACATGCCTTTGACAAGCATAAAGTCACAAAAAGCATACCTTAAAAGATACTGTGCACATTGAACTCCTGTAGCCTTTGAAATAAGATAATCAATAAGCACCAAGTGATCATAATGTAACTGCAGAAGAATAATTAGTGTCCAAACAGTTTCTCTGATGATCGCAAGTTTGCAACTAAAGAAAGGACATAAAATCTATCCAGAGATGCAGAAAATTATTTCAACAGAAGTTTTGTATAGGGTTTTTAAAAGCACTGTAAAAGAGTAAGAAGACAAATACTACTGAAAAATGATGAAAGCAAGAAAGGAAAAAACTTGTGAGTTTATGTGAGAAGAAACGTTGAGAAAAGCTTAAAATTAAGAAAAATCACATACTAGCAAATCAAAAGTTTGCTTTAGACAACATGAAACAGGAAAGTAGCATCTTGACATTCTTCTCTTCATCAATAACAGTAGAAAACCCAAAACGAACAGGTCAAATAGCCAAAATACTATTTCCCAAAGTTGTTAGTTTTCAGATTGAATCTTGCAATCCACATTTAAGCAATGACTGGTGTGTAGTGGTGGAGGATGTCACATGCCTACGCACTAGATAAATAAGGACATAATTTTAAGTTTAACCAAAAACTGAATTGTAACTTCACAAGCTGGAATGAGTTGACTTCATTACTGAATTAGGTTGACACATCTTAACTGGTTCAGTTATCAGTTTGCAGTCAGTTTTGGAAAATTAAAACCGTCTACTCAACCAAGTAAATCGAGTAGTGAATCAGCTTTTACTTTTCAAGCACGCTACCAGCTAGGCAGCTACTCACATGAGGAGATAAACAAGGAAAAAGAGAATGAGATTACGTCACTCTCCCTCTTTCTCTCCCTCCCATCCCCTCTCCTCTCCCTCTGTCCCTCCATCTTGTCCAATCTTCTTCTTTCCTTGAATGTTGTCATCAGTGTCATATGTCATGCCATGAACCCCACATTTTCCCCCCGTTCTCCTCCATTCTCACCTTTTTTGTTTTATGCGTAATGGAAGACCTTTAAAATCAACAAGATCAACTAAAATTCATGGTCCACGGTGATCTGAAAATAGAGAACAACAAAAGGATGCATTGACAAGAAGATATTATATCTTTTGAAATCTCGACTTTATTGTTAATAAGATCCAATCTAGATGTCAAATCATAAAATAATCATCTTTTTTTCTTCATCATATTGATCAGCTATTCCGCATTGGAGTAGAAGAACCTGTTTTAACCTATTCCACATTGGACTAACCATAACGTTTACATAACATCGAAGTTTCAACCAAAAAAAACTCACTTACTAACAATGACAACAAATCATAACTTAAAAAGCATCATTTATTAGCTTACCTCTTTATGCCGTTACAATTGGCTATATGGCTAGCAGCTCTACAATTGCTAACTAGTTGTAGTTGTAAAACAAAATAGATACAGATTGTTGCAATTAAGATTAAGAATATTTGTTAGGATTTTAGTTCTAATTAGGATTAATTGAAATTTTATTTGATGTTATTTGTTATTTAAAATAGGATTTTATTTTATTCCCATAAACACTATTATATCCTTCATTTAGAGAATCTAGACAGTTTGATTTATTGCATGTGATTTGCAACTAATCCCATGAACAATATTAGGCATGTGATATTCTGAGTGTAAGGCCCATATTATACTTTATTAGGCATGAGATTTTCCAGTAGTAAGGCACGTTGTGCATTTTATTAGGTATGTGAGTTGCCGGGTGTGAGGTCCAATTTGTATCTTTTTCTTTTGTCATACATAACACTAGATTCTTCAGTCGTTCCCCATTAATTGGTTTCAAAGCAACCTTCAATCATGCATGAAAATTAAGATTCTGATACAAAGTTTCAGAAGCACAAATTTTCAAAAGCAGAACATAAAGGAGCTGAAGATTGAAGCCGTGATCAATTCCAAAACTAAGGTCAAGTTTTCTCTAAGTGGAAGATATTTGATGAAGGAAAAAATAGATTCGGGTTGTTGCAGCTATGATTAGTAAGATTTGTTGGGATTTTAGTTTTAGTTAGGATTAGTTGCAATTTTATTTGATGTTCTCTATTATTAGGATTTTATTCTTAAAAATATGACTGTATCTTGATTTTAAGCAGAAAATCGTAATCAATTGATTAGTTGAAATCAGATTTTCCCTCGATGAACGAATATGAATTACCATATACAAGATGAAACTCACCAATATAAGGAACCAATGAAACAAATGAATGGGATGAAAAATGCCTGTCATATAATAATGCACATCTCCTTCTGTCTCCCTAGAAGATTTATCAGTTGCAATACTCTGCCTGCAAGCTTCCCAAAAGAATCACATGAGCATATTTCTCTTAATTTTCAAAATCATAAAATGTTTGAGATATGATCATTATGTTGCTCACACTTGTAAAGCAAAGAACGGAGCACGCAATAGCAACAACAGCATTTCAAATAGTATATCATCCTGCAGTTAAACAGATTCAGAAAATGCAGTACAAGATCCATATGCCGAGATACATACAACTATACAAGCCTGAACCCGAGATTTGTAATCTCATAAATAAGCATGTTTTTATCCCAGTTTTTCATAGTAATAGGCGTTTCAGTGATTTTGACATTTCGGGGTCAATATTATTAAATTGTTGGTATCAACAGCTTAGAAAATAAAAATTATTTTAAATTCACTGCTCAGTAAATATAGTTGCAATAGTTGGCATGTTTATCAATTGAATAGTTAAAACAGCAATAAAAGGCTCTTTATACAATCAACACAGTTCCATTCCTTGGTGGTGCAAAAAAACTTATCAAATGGTCTAGCAACATTATGTAAACCAACACAAATTGCTACTCAAGAATCCATTGAATGGTTAAATAATGAAAGATCATTAATTGAAGAAAATTGATTTCACTAAGTTCTGTCGGTGACCTCAAGTAGAACCTATCACAAGAAGAAATTGAAATCAAACAACAAACTACTAAGATATATAATCTTTTTTGAATGATTCTGTTTGCACATAAGCAGATCCAAAATCATATACGAGCGAAGGTGTACCACAAATTCATACCTCCTCCATGTAAAGCTGCAGAAAAGATAAAGAAAAGATGCCGCATGCTTTTGAGAAATTGTCAGAGTCCACTGACTTCTGCAGAAAATCACACCTAGAAAAACACTCTGAAAGCTCCAAGAATCCCATGTGGCAGCAGGTCTCACCGCAAAGTGCAACCCTGCAGTTGATGGAAAGAGTGTTTGTGTGTACCATAGACACCCTTGTCCAGTTTGTTTCCAGTGGACCAATACGAAACAACACTTAAAATGTAGAAAAATGACCAGCCTCTGCAGATGTCGAGTGTGTGTATCTCTATCATTAAAACTGCACAAATATGGAGAACCTTCCAAACAATTTCCAGAACCAGCATAACCAGCATTCAGTTCTGAGAATGTCTTGAATATAAGGTCTTCAAAATATAGTCTCAATAATCTGAGATATGACGCAGGTTGAGAGATGTGCCACTGGTTGTGAAAACTAAGCCGGGTCATTAGAACCTGCAGAAAATGATACTCATGTACAGTAATCCACTCTCAAAAGTTTGCAAAATAACTTCCATTTGGTGGAAGTTTAGCTTCTCTTTGTTTGGATTATTGACCTGGTTAACATCTATATTGCCCAAAGCCTATATAACATCAATATTGCATGAAGTCTATATCTATTACTACGCTCTAACTCACAACACAAAGAAATTACTATAGAAGGACCTCAAAAACATGGTGGGAGGGAATGGAATTAATGCTTACCAACATTTTGTGTCTCAGATATGTAGAAAGGCCCATGTCTTTATGTCTCATGCATTTAGAGAAACAACTAGAAAGAAGTTGTGGTACTAGATTAGTAAACTTGGAGTACGTAGCCAGCTCCCCTAAAGGGCCATCCCTTTCATCCTCTGAATAATCTTGCTTAACTAAGGAACATAATAATTGCAGTACAGTTCCTAAAAGGACACCTGTCGTCCTTTTTAAACCATTATGTCTATCTTGTAAATCAACTTTGCCTAAACCCACATGAATCATAAGCGATTCACTGGCATGGATCCCACAAAATACATCCCAAGGGATTTTTACTAGAGAGGAGACAACAAGGCCCGTGAATGCACCTTCAAGGTCACCATTTTCAAGTTTCAAAGATTTCAGTATATTGCGTAAAATTCGAGTAAGTGCTGCCACAACAGGCCAACTCACTTTCCCTAATCTTGCTTGTAAGAGTGCAATGAACCCTGTGAAGTCAAAGCATGGGTTTTCTGTTTGGAATGTCTCACCAATAGTAAGTGGGTAACAGTGCAGTGAACTTCCATCTATAAGAACAATGGATTCCATAGTTGATGACATCGCAGAACAAATGCTTGAAATTGATGATTCTACGATAATCAACAGCATATGAATAAATTCAAGCCATTTGTTGACCTGCAAAGGAGTTACGATTCAGATTCCACGAATTCAATCCCAGCAATCTTACCCCAGAAAAACTACAGATGATCTTAAAAAACGTACATAACTAGTCAGCAAGCAGGACAGGGAAGAAAGGATATTTCCAGCAACATGTTGAACAAACTGATTGTCAATATTCAAGAAGGACACCTGAAAATAGTAAAGACAATATAATAAACAGAATTTGAACCATGCAACAATATATTTGAATCTTATATACAAAATCAGAGCTAAACAGCAGTTACAGCGTAAAACAAGCCTCGAGACTTGTCATGAGAGGGAAGAAATAATTCAAAACACAGATAAGAGTGCATAATGCATTTTACTTAAATTAGTAAAGGAAGTCCTTGATTAAAAGCAATAAGTTACCATAGTAGTGACCATATTTGCTAGACAACAGTACTCTCCTACAAAATGCTGATCCAAATTCTTCGAACAAGAATGAGCAGACACAAAATTTTCCACAAAATCCTGCAAAATATGAAAAATGAAAATAGCAAGTTCACTCAACAGGAATATTATCTTACCGTAAAATCCAACTTTGTTCCTTTTCTGTCATCTGGGAGCTTTCAGGAGTTTATTTGGTCAAAAAATGGTTTATGACTATGCCAGGTCAAGCACATTACTGTATGGACATTTAGGATCGTTACAGTTGTCATAAACTAAAATAAGAAGGTGAAAATTAAGATTCGCTTTTAGCAAATGTATCCACGGAAAATAGTTGCATGGTCAAAATAGCTCTATTATATACTTCAGAGTAAAATAAATTTCTTAAAGTGTCTCCATTTCAAATAAGAAAAGATAAGCAGATAACAAATACAAGGCGGTGAAAACTAAAGAACGTGATAAGCGAATCGTCATCACTATAGTCGAGATTTGGGTCAAGGGCAGAACTGCACCTTCTGGACAAAAAATTCCAATTGAGTGAAAAAGTTATGTGATTGGGTCTCAGCTAGGCACAGCTCGATGGCAAAGTCCCCTAGAAAAGCTAGTGCAGGTAAGATAACATCATGCTAAGTGATGCAAAAGGGGTAAAACATACCAGTCCTTTGGGAAGCATGTTAAGCCAATGCTACCATGAACCATAAACCTTGGGCTAGAGAAGAGTACTACACTGTAGGTAATTGCATAAAAGCCATAAACCTCGGAGGAAAAAATTGCAACATAGCCCAAGAACGAGTGACTAGAGAATACAGGAAATGAATTATTAACTTGAAAATCCATATTTTAATAAGAGAACCAATATAAACCAATCAAGTGGCATATGCTCCTTCATAATATGGTCATCCACAAAGATGGAAAAATGTGAGAGGAAAATCTAAAGTGTAGAGAGCAGAGCAACTGTTCTCATCATCATCTCATAGGGTATTGGTCAGGTCAAATGAATGTTATTTTTGAGAAACGAGTGTTCAAGGAGAAACAAACTGACTTCAATCTTTTGGCATCATATACAATTTATCATTAAGCAATAATAATAATACGGACAAATTTTCAAAACCAACCTCTTTCCACATTTAATCCCAAAAAAAGACCCCTTTCAACAATATTTTTAAAAACCGACCTGGTTTCAGCCTTGCCGCTGAAACCAGGTCGGTTTTTGAAAAAAAAAACTTCTGAAACTTCACAGGAGTTCAACTCCCGTGAAGTTTCGGACTCCTTTTCACAAAAACTAACTTCAAAATGGATCTTTTTTGGGATTAAATGTGGAAAGAGGTTGGTTTTGAAAATTTGTCCATAATAATAATAAGGACAAAACTTCAAAACCGCCCTATTTGCAAACTTAATCCCAAAAACCGACCTGTTTCTCCTTTATTTGCAAAAACCGACCTAGTTTCAGAAAAAGTTCACAAACTTCACAGGGGTTGAAGTCCCGTGAAGTTTTTTTCATAACAAAACTTCACGGGAGTTGAAGTCCCGTGAAGTTTGTTATGTAAAAAACTTCACGGGACTTCAACTCCCGTGAAGTTTGTGAACTTTTTTTTCAAAAACCGACCTGGTTTCAGCCCAGCCTCAGGGCTGAAACCAGGTCGTTTTTTGCAAATAAAGGTGAAACAGGTTGGTTTTTGGTATTAAGTTTGCAAATAGGGCTGTTTTGAAGGTTTGTCCATAATAATAATAATAAAAGAATATGTTCCCAACTCATATCCAATTAAAAGCAGAATCTATCAAAAAACATTTAGCATCTGTTTCGTATCTCAGCAACTGTCAAATCAAAGGAATTAATTTGATCTTACCTGCTCAAATCGGCATCCATCCTCACTTGCCAACTGCTTAATTTTCTTAGAAATCTTAAACAAACGGTCAAGAACAACAATCAATAAATCTTTAAAATAAAATAAAAAAAGGGTCACAACATGTGCGAACGAGTTATCATTCAGAGATTACCATAGAAAGAGATAATAGCAAATCCTTCTCTGTTTCCTTGGTAAGTTGACAGCACCTTGGTTCCTGTAAAACGACAGAAACCAATGCTGATTATAGAAAAACAAAAATTAGAAATATAAAGAAATAGAGAGAGCATTACGATGTAAGGGAGGAGCGAATCAGTGACTAGATCGCAAATCCGCGAACAACTGTCCGTTCCCTTATTCTTCGTTGAATCAAGGGGACAATCTGCAATATACATTAACGGACTTAGGGTTACGGGCGACACCGTAGGTGGAGAATTTTCCCTGAATAAACCCTAGAAAACCTCATTGATTCCATCGATATGAGAATTCAGAGAAGGATTATGCACCATTGGATTATTAGGGAAGTTAGATCAATCGTCGACTAGAAATAGTTTGAAATTATGAAAAAAGAAGCGATCTTTATGGAGAGAAGTGAAAAAGGAAGCACCTTTGCTCGTCATGGTTACAGACCTGAAGTCTGAAGATGGGAAGTCACTGGTTCTCAGGGTTTTGGGCTGGGTTGCGGTATTTATAACCAGGATTTTTTGTTGAGAAAGAGAGGAGAATGCATGTTGTGGTTTCATGTAGGAGAAATTAAAACAAAGGACCCATTTTCAAATTTTGTGACTAAAATGGCCCTCGTTAGATTTTAATTAGTAAAATCAACTTTTTTTTACCACGTCGCCATGGTTGGCCAAAAAAACGATTTTAGACCATCTCCAATGGCAAGGCAAATATTGTCTTTCTCTCTCCTTCCACCTTACTTTATTCTCTCTCCACATCACTTGCCTTTTCCAATTGCCTTTCAACTCCACAACAACTAGTTTTTCAAAAGTTTTTCACTTTATCTTTCCTCCACATCACTCAACCATATACCCCACCATATTTATTCATCCTATTATTCTTATTTTTTATACATTTTAATCGTTATTATATTTACTAATATATTTATAATTATAAAATTTAATTTTTATTATGTAATAAATAATATGTATTTTTTAATAATTTATAATTTTCAAAAAACTTAATTTTTAATGCAATAAATAATATATTAATTTTATAAAAGAAAACAACACACATTATTATTAAGGATTGGATGTGGAAGTTGGAAATATAAGGAATGAAGTGAATAAAAACTTGATTTTTTTTTGTCCAAATAACATAAACTCAAGCTCTATTTATAGACCTTGAAAAATAAAAAATAAGGGTGAAAAAAAATAATTAATTTAGAGCAATTATTGATATAAAAAAGCCATTTAAATAATGGAAGAAAGAAAAACAAAAAAAAACAAAAAAAACAAAAGACATTCTCTTTTGTGATGGACACACGCATGTGTCCATCTGCAGGCCCAGTTTCGCTGACATGGCGCAAGGAGAATGGATGGAGCATTTTTTTTGTTTTTTTTTAATTGCAGCTGCTGACAAGCCGTATCCTTGGAGAAAATTAACCGGTAGGCAAATTTTGCCTTTTCTCTCTCCTACTTTTCATTTGCCTACCCAATTGTTAGCCATTGCACCAAATAACATACCCAATTGTTAGCCATTGGAGATGGTCTTTTGCCTACCCAATTGTTAGCCATTGCACCAAATAACATACCCAATTGTTAGCCATTGGAGATGGTCTTATAAAATATAATCTTTACAATGCACAACACCAATAATCTCATGTATTTAGAGGTCCTTAAGTATGTGTCTTGTTTACCTATAAAGATCTAATTAACGAGTAATTATTAACATCTAAACACACGGAACTACTAGTTCTATGTAGGATTGGCGAACACTGTTGAAGAAGCTTAGGAAAAACAGTCTGGAAACTAGCCGGTCGACCGTGAGGACTTTGGCAGTCGACCGGAAACGTGCACAAGATCGAAGCAGGTTTCTGGAGTTGGGACGGTCGACCGTCGCGGTCGACCGTAGAAACCCAGTAATCATTTTAGGTTTCTATCGTTGCGTGTGGTCGACCGCGACCACCAGTCGGGTTTTGAGTTAGGTTTGGATTTCAGACCCGTTTTGTTATGAGCTGATATATAACCCTAAACCTGAGTAATTAAGGTTAAGTTAGGACGTTTTTTGAGCAGCCTTTGAGAAAGAATTGAGCATCCTTTGTGGGAGGATTTGTGAGAGATCTAGAGAGATTTGTTTGAGGGTTTTGGTGAGATTTGAAACCCTATTTGTAATTCTCTTTATCTCTAATAGTAAAAACTCCCCCCTCTTTGCCCCATGGACATAGGCAACTTGTCAAACCACGTAAAAATTCATTTGTCTTGCTGTGGTGATTGTGTTTTATTTATTGGTTGTGATCTATCTCGTTCTTGTTCGTGCACTTTCGTGTGTTGCGAGTTTCGCTGCGCACAATAAGTGCTATCAGAGCTTCAGGTTTGGCTTGGACCTTATTCGAAGGATTCATTGAAGGATTCTTATTTGGAGAGTTAGATCTATAATATGTGAGAAACAAGCACATTGGGGTCATCTCTTACAAAAGTGATACAGAGTTTGAGCATCAATAATACAAAGATTGATGTTCCGAAGTTCGATGGCAAGATCAATTTCGGTTTGTGGAGATACTAGGTGATAGATGCGTTGGATGCACAGAATTTGGAGGAGACTCTTGAGTTACAAGAGAAACCTAAAGACATGGAGGACAAGGTTTGGAAGAAAATGAACAGTAGGACTTGTGAAGTTATTCGCTCATGTTTGACGCTGGATCTTATTTATGATGTAATGAACGAGACGTCGGCAAAGAGATTGTGGGAAACGCTCAATGAAAAGTACCTTACTAAGAGTATTGAGAATCGGCTTCACTTGAAGAAGAGGTTTTACCAGTTCAAGATGAAGAGGGGAGTTTTCATTAGGGAGCATGTAAATAACTTCACGAAGTTACTTTCAGATATGGCCAATGTGGACATCATGGTTGAGGATGAAGACAAGGCGATACTACTTTTGTGTTCGTTACCAGAGGATGATTATTCTACGTTCGTTCTCACTATGATCAATGGAAGAACTATTATTAGTTACAATGAGAAGAATAGGCAGGGTTGTATTGATTATGTGATTCAGATTATCCTGGGGATCTTGAGAAGCGTCGGTCTACTTCATGATATGTGTTTACATTGGCAGGAGCACCGATATGTTGGAGATGTATACTTCAATCTACAGTGGCTCTTTCTACTACAGAGGCGGAGTATATGGCGGTGACTGAAGCTGTGAAGGAGGCTTTGTTGTTGCATGAATTGTCAGAGGACTTAGGGATTGTACAAGACACCATTCGGGTTTATTGTGATAGCATGTCAGCTATCTATTTGGCAAAGAACCAGGTTTATCATGCATGCACGAAGCACATTGATGTCAAATTCCACTTTGTCCGTGGTGTTTTGGATGATGGAGATGTCATGTTGGAGAAGATCCACTCAAAGGACAACCCTACAGATATGTTGACCAAAGTTATTTCAGGTGTGAAGTTTGGTCATTGTTTGGAGCTATTGAACATTCTTCGATGTTGAGGGTCTTTGGAGGCCATTTGGATAAACTACGTGAGGCTTGATTCCTTTGGCAAGAGGATACGTAGGCATCTTTTCGATACAGCCGGTTTGGATTTGTGGATTTCGATGGGGGAGATTGTTTGAGCTCTCGTTTGAGTTCCCGACTTATTGTGGATTGAGTCCATTGTCGTGGATTTACTCCACTTCGTACTGGACGCAACAAGTAAAACATTTGGTTGCTTTGGTGTTGGCTCAGTTTTGGAAGAAACTTCACCGAGGTGGAGATTTGTAGGATTAGCAAACACTGTTGAAGAAGCTCAGGAAAAATAGTCTGGAAACTAGCCGGTCGACCGTGAGGACTTCGGCAGTCGACCAGAAATGTGCACAAGATCGAAGCTAGTTTCTGGAGTTAGGACGGTCGACCGTCGCGGTCGACCGTAGAAACCCTGTAATCATTTTAGGTTTCTGTCGTTGTGTGCGGTCGACCGCGACGATTCGACGGTCGACCGCCAGTCGGGTTTTGAGTTGGGTTTGGATTTCAGATCCGTTTTGTTATGAGCTGATATATAATCCTAAACCTTAATTAGGGTTAAGTTAGGACGTTTTTTGAGCAACCTTTGAGAGATAATTGAGCATCCTTTGTGGGAGGGTTTGTGAGAGGTCTAGAGAGATTTGTTTGAGGGTTTTTTGTGAGATTTGAAACCATATTTATAATTTTCTTTATCTCTTATAGTAACCCCCCCCCCCCCCTCCTTGCCCCGTGGACATAGGCAACTTGTTAAACCACGTAAAAATTCGTTTGTCTTGCTGTGGTGATTGTGTTTTACTTATTGGTTGTGATATATCTCTTTCTTGTTCGTGCACTTTCGTGTGTTTAGAGTTCCGTTGCGCACAACATTCTATGCATTTCAAACATTGTATTTAGTAAAATTAACCTCTTTTTGTTAGTCATAATGACATGGCAAAAAAAAGAGATCGATTTTACGAATTAAAACTCAAAAAGATTGATCTTGTTCATAAATCTGCAAAAAGGGCCTTTTTTAAAAGATGTGAACGTGACTTTGAAGATGAAGGAAAAATCAAACCTCACCAACCCTCTCTCTGGCGTTTTCTTTCAATTGTCAAAACTCACCAACCATTCTTGTATTATTTTATTAATATTTTGAGCTTATAAAAGGGAGGTTGTGGAGAGTTCTCAGAGCACGAACAAACTCAGAGAAAGAAAAGAAAAGAGTTGAATAGAGAGAGAAGTGAGTGAGATAGAAAGAATCTATCTGTTTCTTTATGAGAGTCTCTGGTTAGAAAGTGGTCTCTTCTTTTATAATCTTCTCTTTTGGTGGTTAGTAAATTTCTCTGCTATTCTCGCCCGTGGATGTAGGGCATACTGACCGAACCGCGTTAAATCCTTGTGTGCTGTTTTCTATTTATCCACTCTTGTATAGACATCTTCTGTGCTGTGAAGCCCCTCCCAGCAACAAACTGGTATCAAAGCCTGTTTAGAGTACGTGTATCTGCTTATCGTATGCTCTGTGGCTACCACTAAAAATGGATCCTCCACATTAGAAAATAAGTTAGATTATCATTTACTCTTTAAAGGCACTGGTTACTATTCAAAAGTACTTACTATTCATACATATGATTACTATTCATACATACAGTTACTGTTTTACAAATACGGTTACTGTTTTACAAATACGGTTACTGTTTTACAAATACGGTTACTGTTCATAAATATCGTTACTGTTCTAGTTGGCTTCAAGATGTCTTCTGTAAAATACAAAGTGGAGAAATTCGATGAGAGAAACGGCTTCAGTTTATGGAGAGTAAAAATGATGGCTCTCCTAGTACAACAAGGACTATTCAAAGTCTTGTCCGGAAAGGATAAGTTGCCGAAATCTATGTCTGATGATGAGAAAGAAGAGTTGGAGATGAAGGCGCATAGTGTCATACAACTCTGTTTGGCCGATGAGGTCCTACGGGAGGTTGCAAATAAAGATACCGTCACCGGCTTGTGGCTCAAGTTGGAAAGCTTGTACATGACGAAATCTCTAACAAACATGCTATACTTGAAGCAACGCCTCTTCACCCTTCGCATGAAGGAAGGTATGCGAATTAAAGACCACTTAGATGAACTTAATACTATTCTTATGGATTTAAAGAATATTGATGTTAAAATTGATAAAGAAGATCAAGCACTCATCTTGTTATGTTCATTACATCATTCTTATGAAAATTTTGTCAATAGCATGTTATACGGTAGAGATACACTTTCTTTGGAGGATGTTAAATCAGCCTTACATTCAAAAGAGTTAAGGCAGAAAGTATCTGTCGTAGGAGGAGAGGATCAAGCTGAAGGCTTGTTCGCTCGTGGTCGTCCTAAAAAGGGTGTTGGTGGTAGAGGCAAATCTAGAAACATGTCTAGATCAAAGTTCAGGCCAAGAAGAAATGTTGAATGTTATTACTGTTAGAAATATAGGCATATAAAACCTAATTGTCCAGCGCTCAAAGCAAAGGATAATTCACAGTCGAAGTCTGGGGAGGTGAAACATTCAGTTGCCACTGTAACTGAAGAGTCCTCTAGTTCACATGAAGTTCTTTCAGTTAGTGTTAATACTCATTCACAAAATGAGTGGATTCTTGATTCGGGTTGTTCCTATCATATGTGTCCGCATAGGAATTGGTTTGTCACATATCAGTCTATCGATGGTGGGAATATCTTGTTAGGAAATAACGTGCCTTGCAAGACTGTTGGTATCGGATCAATTAAGATTAGAACCCATGATGGTATTATTAGAACATTGAGTAATGTCCGTCATATTCTAGAATTAAAGAAGAACCTCATTTCTTTAGGCACCCTTGACTCAAATGGATTTAAGTTTTCGGCTGAAGGTGGAGTTTTGAGAGTAAGTAAAGGTTCTCTTGTTGTGATGAAAGGAAAGAAGGTAAATACTCTCTATATCCTTAAAGGCAGTACAGTGATAGGTGCTACAGCAATGTCATCCTCAGAGGATTCAGATTCAGACACTACGCATTTGTGGCATATGCGGTTAGGGCATATAAGTGAGAGAGGACTGGATATATTGAGCAAACAAGGTCTGCTTTGTGGTCAGAAAACCAGCAAATTAGACTTTTGTGAGCATTGTGTTTTCGGCAAACACCATAGAGTATCCTTTAGCACCGGTGTTCATAGAACCAAGGGTACTTTAGATTATATCCATTCAAATGTTTGTGGTCCCTCTCAGGTTCCTTTGAAAGGTGGAGCTCGTTTTCTGCTAACATTGATTAATGATTATTCCAGAAAAGTTTGGGTGTATCCTTTGAAGCATAAGAGTGATGTGTTTGAAACCTTCAAGCAATGGAAGGTTATGATTGAGAAACAAACAGGAAAGAAAGTGAAGCGCCTCAAAACCGACAATGGGATGGAGTTTTGTTCCACAGAGTTTGACCAGTTCTGCAAGAATGAAGGTATTGTGTGTCATCGTACAGTTCGGCATACACCACAGCAAAATGGAGTTGCATAAAGGATGAACAGAACACTTTTGGAGAGAGCTCGGTGTATTCTCTCTAATGCCGGTTTGTCAAAAACCTTTTGGGCCGATGCAGTCAATACAACTTGCTATTTGATAAACAGATCTCCTTCTACAACAATTAATTTCAAGACTCCAGAAGAGGTATGGTCTGGTGCCCCTGCTAATTACTCTCATTTAAGAGTATTTAGTTGCTCTGCTTATTTTCATGTTAATGATGGTAAGCTTGAACCTAGAGTAAAGAAAGCTATCTTTATAGGATATGCTACTGGGGTGAAGGGATATAGATTATGGTGTTCTAATCCTAAGTCACCTAAGTTTATTATTAGTAGGGATGCTACTTTTGATGAAAAATCCATGCATGCTTCACCTAAGAAAGGAGTTTGTTATTGACCCTACAGGTACTGAAAATGAGTCTACCAAGCAGGTGGAGCTAGAGAGCTCAGCTTCAAAGAGAGTGCTTGAGGGCGCTCATGTTGAACCAGTTGATACTGCAGAAGGTTCAACTTCAGATGCTGATATACCACAAGAGCAACAGTATAATATTGCCATCAGGAGAACAAAAAGGCAGATCCGACCTCCTCAACGCTATGCAGACATGCTTGCTTATGCTTTGAGTATAGCAAAATCGATTGATGTTCCAGAGCCTTCTACTTATAAGGAGGCTATTAGTGGTAATGAGGCTGCAAATTGGACTATTGCGATGACTGAAGAGATGGAGTCTCTTCACAAGAACCAGACATGGGAGCTAGTGAAGCCATTAAGGGGACAGAAGATCATTGGCTGTAAATAGGTCTTCAAGAAGAAAGAAGGAGCTCCGGATACAGATTCTATAAGGTACAAGGCATGCTTGGTAGCAAAAGATTACAGTCAGTCCGAAGGTGTAGACTTCAATAAACTATTCTCTCCAGTTGTAAAACACACCTCAATCCGCGTGTTGCTTTGCCATGGTTGCTCATTTTAATTTAGAGCTTGAGCAACTTGATGTGAAGACGGCTTTTCTACATGGCGAGATTGAGGAGCAGATCTTTATGCATCAACCAGAGGGTTTCATTATTGAAGGTAAAAAAGATCATGTGTGCAGGTTGAAGAAATCTCTCTATAGGTTGAAACAGTCTCCGAGACAGTGGTATTTGAGATTTGATACTTTCATGTTTGAGCATGGTTACTTTAGGAGTAAATATGATAGTTGTGTTTATCATAAAAAGCTCAATGATGGTTCTTTTGTATATTTGCTTTTGTATGCTGATGACATATTGATTACAGCTAAAGATATGTCAGAAATCAACGAGTTAAAATCTCAACTCAAACATGAGTTTGAGATGAAGGACTTGGGAGCAGCAAAGAAGATTTTGGGGATGGAGATCCACAGGAACAGGCGAGAAGGAAGTTTATTCCTATCTAAGGAGAAATACATCAAGAAGGTGTTGGAGAGATTTGGCATGCTTGATGCCAAGCCTGTGAAGACTCCGCTTGGCACTCATTTTCGTCTTTCAGCAGATTTGTCTCCTCAGACTGAGGAGGAGCAGTACATGTCTTGTGTTCCTTATGCTAGTGCAGTTAGAAGCATTATGTATGCGATGGTCTGCACCCGTCCAGATATTTTACATGCAGTCAGTGTTGTGAGTCGGTATATGGATAAGTCTGGAAAGATCCATTGGCAGACTGTGAAATGGATACTTAGATATTTGAGAGAATCTGCTAATATTGGTTTGAATTTTGGCAGGAACACAGACTCAGATTGCAGAATACTTGGCTATTCTGATTCAGATTATGCGGGTGATTTGGATAAGAGATGATCTCTGACAGGTTATATATTCACTCTTTCAGGTAGTGTCATTAGTTGGAAGGCGACTCTACAGTCGACAGTTGCTTTGTCTACTACAGAGGCAGAGTATATGGCAGTGACAGAAGCAGTGAAAGAAGTTATTTGGTTGAGAGGTTTGGTTGAAGATCTCGGCTTACACCAAGGTGTTACTACGGTATTTTGTGACAGCCAGAGTGCTATACATTTGACGAAGCATCAGATGTATCATGAAAGAACCAAACATATAGATGTCAGCTATCATTTTATTAGAGAAATTAAAGTCATCAAGATTGAGAAAATTGGTACTGCAGATAATCCTGCAGATATGATGAAGCCCGTACCTTCGCGCAAGTTCGATCATTGCTTAGAGTTCGACAAAGTAGAGGTTAAGCCCGTAAGGGGCTTCTGGCGAGACAACAAGAGTGAAGAGAAGATATCATATTCAAAGTCAAAGTGGAGATTTGTGAACGTGACTTTGAAGATGAAGGAAAAATCAAACCTCACCAACCCTCTCTCTGGCGTTTTCTTTCAATTGTCAAAACTCACCAACCATTCTTGTATTATTTTATTAATATTTTGAGCTTATAAAAGGGAGGTTGTGGAGAGTTCTCAAAGCAAGAACAAACTCAGAGAAAGAAAAGAAAAGAGTTGAATAGAGGGAGAAGTGAGTGAGATAGAAAGAATTTGTCTCTTTCTTTGTGAGAGTCTCTGGTTAGAAAGTGGTCTCTTCTTTTGTAATCTTCTCTTTTGGTGGTTAGTAAATTTCTCTGCTGTTCTCGCCCGTGGACGTAGGTCATACTGACCGAACCACGTTAAATCTTGGTGTGTTGTTTTCTATTTGTCCACTCTTGTATAGACATCTTCTGTGTCTGTGAAGCCCCTCCGCTGCAACAAAAGATTCTCTAGTAACAATAAGTAGGGTTTTTTTTTTCTAGAAACCAACTTAAAAATAGTCATTTTATAATAACCACCTTTCATTTTCCATTTGTACACAAACCATCTTTAAAATGAGTTTTTATTCTAATCAACCCCCTCCCAATCAAAATTTTCATTGAAAACCCAAAATACACTTTAAAACTCACATTCAATATTCGTTACTCACTTTGTTAATGTTAGGCCTAGTTAGAATATCAGTCACGTTTCAATATTCGTTATTACTTTTTAATGTTAGGTCTTGTATATTTTCCCAGATACTTACACTGTGAGCAGCAAATACTTTGTACACCGCCATCACACAAACTTAGATTCACCGCTCAAATTATCAACAGCAATTGCAGCAAACATTCTGTACATTGTCATCATACAAGCAAAATCCTGCGTATAGAGTAGAAAAATGAATTGGCCCTAGGCAATCCTGGAGATATCACAAGTATGATGTGAAAATTTACACTTGGTTGGTAAAGAAATCTGTATCTGTAAAATACAAGAAAGCAGGGTTCGGTCACTGTTTACACCTCTGATGTAACTGCAAATAACAACAGGGTGTGATGTTAATCTTGTTAGCAATGTGTAAAACCAAAGTAAAGCCCATAGTCAAATTTTAGCAGGCAAAGATTACTGTATATACGAAAAGTTGTAATTGGAGCAAATCATCTTATGATACATCTGAGAGTATAGAAACACTGGGTCAACGACGACGCCTTCGATCTCTGAGCCTGGGTGATACTCTCTGCATTTTTAGAAGACAAAAAAAACAGAAGAAAATAAGTGAAAAAAGCTGAAGAAATATGTGTATCTGCACACACGAAAAGCGCCGATAACATGACAAGAGTTACACCAGATATTAATTCAGTAAATAGCAGTTACTCACAGTTGAAGCAGGACCTGGCCTGGCGCTCCCGGCAGCACCTAAATACTCAAGAAAATATGCATGTCAAGTAAAGNAGGAGCTTCCAAATAAAGTTAGGTTTTTTTAAATGTATATATGGGAATGTGCAGCACTACCGAAATTTTAGTATTTGCAAAACTACCCCCAATTGATCAACTTTCAAAGAGAGAAAACCTCAAAATCAAAAAAATCATCCAATTTGATAGGTTAATTTTAAAAATATCAACAGTCAATTTTTTGCTCGCCATATATTAAAAAAAAGTTGATGATTTGTTGACTTGGGAAGTAATCCAAATTTTATTACTTGAGGGGCAGTTTTGCAAATACTAAGATTTGGGGTTAGTTCTGCTAATACACATGCGTTTAGGGGTATATATACAAAGGGTTTTCCTAACCGCTGCCCCCGTTAATGTGGATTAACTTTAATACAAATTTAGAATTATTTTTAATGTTTCCATAAATATAGCAGAATAATGCAATCTGTTTCTCTCTCTTCGAACATGGCTTAAATGCATTCTCTTTCCATCTTCACTTACTAAAATTGATTGGGTTATTTGCACTTTAATAATTCAAAGTTTAGCTTATTTTTAAATTTGATGCTCAAAGTTTGTTTTTTGCACAAATAAATACTCCGACGTTCAAGAAAGTTTAATTTGATACCCAAAAGTTTTTTTGTCCGAAGGTACTTAAAAGTTCAACAAAATTTTAACTTTTATACCCTAAAGTTCAACAAAATTTTAACTTTGACACCAGTGTTTTCAAAGGCGCGCGCCTCATTGCGCCTCATGCGCCTTACGATGCGGGGCGGTGGCGAAACACCCCACATCTGATACAGCAGTGCCTTTTGCGCCTCGCGTACATCCATACTTTGTGTAGGATGCATGTAGTAAATTTCCTCATATAGTTTTGTTTGTTAGCATTTCAATCGAGTCTTTATACTTGATATTCCATATCCCAAAAAGCAAAATAAATCCATTGGGTTTTTTAAATAACCTTCAATTGAGGACCATTACTAATCCTTAGTTTGGATATAAGTCTTGATTTAACATTTGATTTATTAGTTTGGATATAAGTCTTGATTTAACATTTGATTTGAAAATTTATGAAATTTGCTACTATGTTGGGTGTTAGCATTAGGAAAATTTATGAAATTTGCTACTATGTTGGGTGTTAGCATTAGAAATTAAGGCAATATATTGTGATTTTATAGAAAGATATTATTTATCATGATATTTTTCGTGTAAATTCTAAAAACATGTTCTTTCGCGCTTGATTACATATATTGAAATATTATGTGTGTGGTGTGCGCCTCGCATCACTCGGGCGCGCACATCGCGTTACGCCTTGCGCATGTGTGCGTAAAAATGCTTTGCGCCCCGCATTGCACCTCGCGCATTGAAAATACTGTTTGACACACAAATTTGATTTTTTTGTTATTTTTTAAAAAAGTCAGGTTACCAAAGTAAAATTTTGTTTAAAGATTAGGGGTATCTAAGCTGAAATTTGTTGAGCTTTGGGGTATCAAAGTTAACAATGAGATAAAGTTGGCGGTACCTTTTTGTTAAAAAGTATATACTTAGGAGTATCAAAGTTAAAATAAGATTTAAATTCATAAAGTAAACATGAGGATGAGAGAGAATCAATTTTCATATGCATGATTTGCACTTAAGGCAATTAAGGAAATGGAGAGAGAAAAATAAGGAAAAGAGGGTGTCATGCCCCGGGCCCACGGGCCAGTTGGCGCGTGCAAGCTGTGGGATTCATCGAGAGTAACTCAATGTTAGCTAAAGTTCACTGCCAAAATACTAGCACTAGTTGTTCTTGGGTCTTGGGCTTCTCTATTTAAGCCACTAACATTTCTTCACAGTAGTTCATATGAGACTAAAGTAGGGGTGTCACAACCACCCCACCTTACAAAGACGACGTCCTCGTCGTCATGACATGATAATTGGCACATCCCAATATCATTGTCAGATGATGTGGACTCTAGAGATGCCTCCTACGGGCTCTAGAGGTGGCTCTCACAGCATCACGCGGTGTAGCACTTAGCCCCGTATAGCACTTAGCTCCACACTTCCGGCTGGTAACTGTTCTGATAACATTTTTCATGTCCCGGGCCCATGGGCCCGTTGACGTGCAAGCCGTGGGACTCACAGAGAACAACTCGATGTTGGCTAAAGTCCACTGCCAAAATGCTAGCACTAGTTGTTCTTGGGCTTTAGGCTTCTCCATTTAAGCCACTAACATTTCTTCACACTAGATCATGTGGAACTAAAGTGGGGGTGTCACAGAGGGATCACTGATTGCATTTAATCATAACGTGGGAAATCATTCCGAAATTGTGGAATTTAATCCACATTAATGGGTGCCCAAGGGCACCCGTTAGAAAAATCCATATACAAAATACCCAAATTTAAAATAAAGCATAAGCTAGTATTCTATTAGCTGCAGATGTAAAATGATAGGATGATTAAGATATTAAATAAGGGGTCATTATTTTGTAATTTTGACTCTAGATGTAGCCCTGAATCCTATTATGTTGGACATGGTTTATTTGCCAAAACATCCATTCTGTCTGTTTGAACCTCCATCTCCAGATTATAATCTACACAGCTACAGAATATGACAGGCTATATTTAAGAACTAGATTCATTTACTCCTTCAAGTAATAGAACATTACAGTAATATGACATACCTATTGCAAAAGATAAAGGACTCCCTGCAAGAGAGATGGGGGCAAAGGATGAAGATGCTCCTCCAGACATAGCAGGATTTTGAGTGAAACCAGATTGAGAAGTTGAGTCCATCGGTGCTGTTGGATTGGAAGGGGGGAAATAGGGAGTACCAGAGGCAGGGATAGAAGGGGTAGGAGAAGAGAACATCTCATATTGACAGCTAAAGGAAGCTAGAAAATTGCCGACAGATTGCTGCAGCATTGCTGGGTTGGGAAAAGAACCAGAAATTGGGTTTGGTTGTTCTGTAGTTGAAGAGAAATTAAGTGTTCTTCTGGCAGCATTTTCTTGTCTGGCAGCTTCCTGTCTGTCAGCCTCAAAAAATGGGTTTCCCCTTTGACCCTGCTGTTGCCAACCAAGGAGAAAGTTTTTCTTTAGAGACTCCACCATTTCATGAAGTTTCTCCACCTGTAAGATAAAATGACCTTGCTGCTCAAAATGATACTCAACCCGATACCTATTGATACTTATTTATTTAAAAGAGACACCAGCAACATTTTTTTGGAGTGAAAAAGGCGAAACTACCTCCCGCATATAATTAATAACAGTGTACCACAACGTCCCAAAAAAATACATTAGGAACAAGAACCACACAAAGATCAACAACATGTTTCTATTGAATATTAGAGGAATTCTTTAGTTCAAATTGGTTCTGAAAAAGATGATATGATCTGTGAACTGGATATGTCTGAATGCTTATGTTTGTTCAACAGGACAGTCTTCGGGTCAATTTGCTGACAATACTACTTACATGTATGTATGCATGCATGTATGTATGTATGTATATGTGTGTGTGTATATATAAAGAGGTCGGGGGAGGATGGAATTGATGCTTTGAATCATAACTCACAGTTTGAAATCGTCCTAGGTGGCCATAGTGTATTTACTGTGAAGGGTTCGAAACTAAAGTACATCAAGCATCACAGCTAAACTTCATGTCCCTTGCATTGAACTCTATCGTTAATGGCATTAACCACTGAGTATACGGAAGTGTACAAAATTGTAAAGTAAATGTCTTACCTTACCAGCAACATAGACAAAAAACTCATGAGTACTTGACATTGTATCTTTTATAGCCCATGGTAGGGAAGAGAAGCTTGAAGATGGCCCGAATGTGTCCATCAGGATTAGCTGTTCATTTTCATCAAGCCACTTACCGCACTCACGAAGCTTATTCTGAAATCTTTCGACGGTATTCTGAAGAAATGGAGTAGGTCGCATTAGAAGCCCTCTATAAAAAGAAGTTCCAGGCAATCCCATATTACAACTTGAAAGACCATAACTTGAAGCTGAAGAAAGATTTGAGCTAATTGAAGCCTCCAATGTCTCCATATCTCGCGTCACGGACAACATTTGTTGCACATCGGTTTTCTTTTCTTTGAAAAATATATCGAGCCTTCTAATTTCCTATGTAACATATAATTGTCATGTAATCAGAAATGAAATGTAAGAATGACAGAAAAAATTTGGTTAACTCAGGCATGTGGGACAGTAGAACATATAAAAGATAAGATCTGTTAACGAATGCTATTAAAAACAATGCTGAACTCTAACGCTCATGCACATGGGCACACATGTTGCCAGTAGGAGGTTAAATAAGTGATAAACCTTAATGCAAGGGCAATGTGAGGTGTTCTGCAACAACTAGCAATATATAAACTAACAGTGCCCTTCCCTCTCTACCACAACGTGCACATGTTAATTCTCTTGTGTTTCATCCACCTGGAATTGTACCATCCAATAGAATCATTTCTCATCTTAAATACATGCTGGCCTAGTTGAAGATGGGTTCTTCTTTACTATCAAGTTAATGTTGCTTTCTATGTGACAAAGGGTAGGGAATCTAGCTGCTGACTCATGGTTCATATAGGTTGATAAGGGAAAAAGAAATTTCAAAGTCACAAGCTTTAACAAGAATAAAAACCACAATGATGGATCCTTAACATTGCTACTGGACAAGAAACGCAACAAAAGGTTAAAAGAAGGTTTTAACAGTGTTTCTGTGACACACATTCACACACATAAACAAAAGAATAAGTTGGAATAGAAACCCTAATCTTATTCATGAGATAACATGGGCTTATATAGGCCCCTACAACTTACAAATACGCGTTGCGACAAAAGTCAACGTTCGAGGGTGAAAATCCACACCAATCAACGTTCGACGATTCAAAACCTTAAGGGTCAACGCCGGTCAACGCGTAACCCTAGGTCAACGACAGTCAATGCATTGCAAGAAAAGTCAATGTTTCGAAACCCTAGGGGTCAGCGCCGGTCAACGCGTAACCCTAGGTCAACCCCATTCAACGCGTTGCAACCAAAAGTCAACGTTTGGCGATTCGAAACCCTAGGGGTCAGCGCCGGTCAACGCGTAACCCTAGGTCAACCCCATTCAACGGGTTGCAACCAAAAGTCAACCTTTGACGAATCAAAACCCTAAGGGTCCACGCCGGTCAACGCGTAACCCTAGGTCAACGCCAGTCAACGCGTTGTGACAAAAAGTCAAACACACGATGATCCGAAACCCTAAGCCAGCACAATATGGCGGAAGTAGTTCAAAGTCAACTCAATGACACTAGCCAAACTCAATCCATCAGCTGCAAACTCGAGACTCCGACGACGGCCAGACGATAAACGCAGTGCCGGAAGAACCTCGGCTATTCGTCAAAGCATCGAATAGACCGAAGAGCGAAAGAGCCAAGAGTTGAGGCTAACCACAGGTCCTGAAGCCGACTAAAGGCTAGACCAATCACATCCAAAGTATTCCGGCCTCTTCTATAAAAAAGAAACGAGTCCGGAACACTTTGGAGGGGGTATCTGTAGGCATCGAAAATTGCCTATAGGTCTCCACCTGGGTTGTTGGCGATACTGATGGCTGACTTGTTATCACACCACAGCTTCATCTTGGCTCCTTGATCCATCTCCAGCTCCACCAACATACTCTTTAACCACAACAACTTTGCAACTCCTAAGGCCATGGCTCTATACTCTGCTTCAGCTGTTGATCTCGCTACCACCGATTGCTTCTTGCTCTTCCACGAGACCAAGTTGCCTCCTACAAAGATACAATATCCTGAGGTGGATCTCCTGTCATCAGCACAGCTAGTCCAATCGGAGTCACAATAACCCTCGATGTTCACATGTCCATTCTTTCTGAATATCAGCCCCTTTCCGGGGGCACTCTATCGAACTCTTCGTCAAGCATCCAACGCATCCGGAATCAATCAAATCCGAGTTCGGACGAAGAATCTACAGGGAAACAATCGAAAACACGTCAAACGGAGTCCCGGCACGCCGAAATACCCTGGGGGTGTCTAGGAAAAGCCTAGACACCCCAGGGGTGTCCACACCTTTTGGACCCCTCTACACCCCCCTACATACCAATCATAGCCCTTCTGAATCTGTCAAACCAAGCACGAGGAGACTGCTTCAGCCCATAGAGAGATTTTTTCAATCTGCAGGCATTTCCCACTGTCTGATCTGTACCAAATCCTGGTGGTATCTCCATGTATACCTCCTCCACTAGATCCCCATGAAGAAATGCGTTCTTCACATCTAGTTGGTGTAGCTTCCATCCACCATTTACTGCCAGAGAGATTAAGGTCCGAACAGTGCTCATCTTTGCCACCGGTGCAAAAGTCTCATCGTAGTCGATGCCATATGTCTGACTATATCCTTTTGCCACCAGACGAGCTTTGTAGCGCTCAACCTGTCCATCTGGATTCTGTTTCACAGTGAAGACCCACTTGCATCCAACTGCTCTCTTCCCTTTTGGTAGTTTTACTAGCTCCCAAGTGCGGTTCTTCTCAAGGGCCCTTAGCTCTTCGTGCATAGCAGCTTTCCATTTCTGGTCCTTCTTTGCAACCTGCCAATTGTTAGGTATAGTAACAGAGTCCAGTGATGCAATGAATGCTCCATGCGCAGGGTGGATGTTAGAATATGATACAAACTGAATCGGGAGGATTTCCCGCATTACTACGAGTAGTCCTCCGTACTGATATTGGTGTGGGAGGAGTAGGAAGAGGAATGTTATCAGTAGGAATGTTATCACCTTGGGATGAAACTGGTGGTGGTGGTGGTGGTGTTTCAGGAGTCGGGGTAGGCAATGGCAAGGGACTTGACAGCACTAGTGGCACTGTAGGTACTGTTCCTGCAATTTGCTTGCCTTTCCTACTATAAGTTAGTAGCTCTCCCTGAACAGTGGGCCTAACACCTCTTGTCTCATTTTCCTTTTCTTCGTCATTCTCCTGCTCCTCCTCAACCAATTCTCCCTCCTAAGGAATCGATACAGAAATGGATTTCTCCACATTGTTCACTGTTCTCTCACCATTCTCCTCCTCTCGCCTCATACTTCTAGTATTGGGTGAGTTACCAACGGATGAGGTTACCTTCTGGGTGTAATATGGCTCGAGTTCTCGAAAGTGCACATCCATGCTCACAAACAACCTTTTTTCCACCGGGCTCCAGCAAACATATCCCTTCTGAGTAGCAGAATATCCCACAAAGATGCACTTTACAGCTCTAGGGGCAAGCTTCCCGACAGATGGCCTGTTGTCCTTCACAAAGCACACACAGCCGAACACTTTGAGTGGAAGGATCCCACCATTATCTCCCTTCAATATCTCACATGGAGACTTCCAATCCAACACTCTCGAAGGCATTCTGTTGATCAATGCTGCTGCGGTCAATACTGCTTGCCCCCATAATGTTTCTGGGACATTCATAGAGATCATCATGCTTCTAGTAACCTCTAAAAGATGTCTGTTCTTCCTTTCCGCTACCCCATTCTGAGCTGGTGTGTATGGACAGGTTGTCTGGTGATGTATTCCTTGAGCTGACAAATATTCCTCAAAGGCTCTGTTGGTATATTCTGTCCCATTATCTGACCTCAATACTTTCACCACTGCTCCGTATTGAGTCTGGACAGTCCTATAAAAATTTTGGAAGCACCCAAACACATCACTCTTATTCTTTATCAGGTATAACCAAGTAACACGAGAGAAGCAATCAATAAATGTAACAAAATACTTGTATCCATTCATAGAACTTGTGGAACAAGGCCCCCAAACATCTGAATGTACCAAGTCAAATGCATGAGAACTTCTATGACCAGAACTAACATAAGAGCTTCTAGTAAGCTTTCCAAACTCACATGCATCACACACAAGTTTCTGTTTATTTGCTTTCTCAAATAAAGAAGGATACAATCTACCTAAAACACTAAAGGATGAGTGTCCCAAACGCTGGTGATGAAGCATTAACTCATTTTCAGCACTCATTTTAGATCCTACTCCTGCTTCCTCTATGACTGACACCAATGCTGAATCCAGCCCTTCACGATCCAGATACCACAGTCCACTACGCCATGTGCCAGTCCCAAGTCTCCGCCCTGTCCCCTTCTCCTGGAAAATCACCTTGGGAATATCAAAAGAAACAATGCATTTTAGTTGGAGGATGATAGAACTAATAGATAAAAGATTGACTGGAAAAGAAGGAGCATGCAAAACATTGGACAAAGTTACAGAACCAGTACAATCGACTGTACCCTTACCAACCACCGGCTGAAATGTACCATCAGCTGTTTGAATACTATCAGGCGATGCTAAGTGAGTATATGATGAGAACTCACTAGCATTACCTGTCACATGACAAGACGCACCGGAGTCGACTATCCATGCTGATGATCTGTCAGGAGACATAGAAGCAAGAGCATGTATGTCATCAGTACCTTTGTTCGGATGAGCATAGGTAGCAGTGTTGCCTCTGACGAAGAACGAAGTAGATGCCTCCGCAGTCCCATTCCTCAAATCTCCATCCCCTGCTACTTGCTGTTTTTTCCTGAGTATCGTGAGGAGAGCACGATCCTCCTCTGTAAAGACCACCTCAGCTTCTCGAATGCGAGTCTCCTCCTGGATCATAGCAGAGACAGCCTCCTCAAGCGTGGGAATCTTCGGCTGAGCTAGCAGCAATGCGATTCGCTGAGCGAACTCTGATGTCAATCCTTTAAGAAACACCATAGTCCTCTCTTGTAGAAAGGCCTCCCGCTCTTTACATCCCGGGTCCTTGCAGCTAGCCCGAGGAGAAAAGTGGTCATAATCCAGCCACAGGCGCTCCAGCTCTGTAACATATTCCTGTACAGTCCTCTCTCCCTGGACTGTAGCGTCGATCTCTCCTTTAATCTGGAATACCCTCAGGTTATTCCCCACTCCATCATATGTCCTCCTCAACTTCTCCCAGACGTCCTTCACCTTCTCAATGCCATCCACCGTGGCGGCGATCGTCGGGACCAACGAGTTAAGGAGCCAGATGTATACCAACATATGAGTGGCCTTCCACTCATCTCTTCCCTCCGAGTCCTCCTCCGGTTCTGTCACCTCTCCTGTCAGATAACCCTCCAGATTTCTCCC